AAGATTTGCTTAGAAAACTGGAAACAAGTGTAATATATCATGATGTGACTTTGATTTTACCTTATATGCTTTTGTATTATTTGAATTTTTAGCAAGATGCATGAATTGCTTTACAGTAGGAAATGCATTCCCATTAGATAAAATGCTTTTCGTTAATTAATTTAGAATTACCTATAGATGCAAAGGAAGTTGCAATAAAATACTTGCGTATACAGAACCTAGTTTCAAGGTTTTTTGTTTTTTTTTTTTTTGAGACAGAGTCACACTATGTCACCCTTAGTAGAGTGTCATGGCGTCACAGCTCACAGCAACCTCCAACTCCTGGGCCCAAGCGATTCTCTTGCCTCAGCCTCCTGAGTAGCTGGGACTACAGGCACCCACCATAATGCCCAGCTATTTTTGTTGCAGTTGACATTGTTGTTTAACTGGCCCAGGCCGGGTTCAAACCTACTACCCTCAATGCATGTGGCTGCCACCGTAACCACTGTGCAACAGGCGCCAAGCCTAGCCAGGTTTTAACACCTTTTCTGTTTCAGTCTTTTCTGCCCTCTAGCCTTTTTAATAGGAATCATGTTTCATTTGAAGTTATAGATTTATGATTATTTTATAGAAAGTAGAAACTTGAGTGAAATAAATTCAAAATTAGACATAAGAACTGAATAGAGAGAGGGAGCTGGGATTTTGATAAAAAATTAGGAATAGTAAAGATTAAATTATACTGTGTTTATAACATGGATTCACACTGTCAGATTAACCTTGTCTCTGGTCTGGTTTTCTGCATGGGTGCAGCAATGCAGGGTCTGCCGTGGAGGTAAATGGCCCTGTAGAGCAGTGGGTGTGTCAGACCAAGAAGGCGTCCGGGATGCAGACTTTGTTCTTTATGTTGGTGCTCTGGCCACTGAGAGATGCAGTCATGAAAACATCATCTCTTATGCAGCCTATTGTCAGCAGGAAGCAAAAATGGACAGGTAAACTTTCCTCTGAGACTTAACTTCCCAAGATCTAATTTGGGAACTTGTAAAGCAAACCATATTTTAAGTGCTAAGAAACCAGGAATCTTATGTTTACTGGATTTCCTCTCGTGGTAAGAAATAGCATGGTGCCTAGATTTGAGCAGAGCTCTGGGAAGGGGAGTGATGGGACTTTTGCTCATATGGTAATGAAAACTTTTAGTCAAAATGAAGGAGAAAACTGAAAAACTTCCTCTAACTTTCTCCCCTGCTATTCCTCTTCTATTCCAGTCATACTTTTC